CCAGACAGACACAGACACACACGCACGCACAGACACACACACAGACACACTCACACACACACACACACACACACACACACACACACACACACACACACACACGACACGCTCTTGAAAACCCGGACACCACCACTGTCGCCACTTTTTGTGCTGTTGTAGAACTGTGGTTTGGTGATTTGCGTATGATTTGCTTAAAAATTCTTGCTTGAAGAAGTGCCCCTGCAATTTGGGGCGAGCAACGACTCGTCCGCGCTCCTTCTTTCTTGTGCGTTGCTTCTGTCGTTCTGGCTTCTGCGAGGTGGGCGCATGTGTGGGGCGGCGGCGAGTTTTGTTTGTTGTGTGTGTCGTTGTGCTTTGAGAACAGCAAGCAAAAGGTGGCAGTTGTTGTGTTGTCAGTTGGGAGGGACAACGAAGTGGTGGTGTTTGTGCTGTTGTCCCCCCCCTCTCCCTTTCTTCTCTCCCTTTCTTCAGGCAACAACGCAACGACCAAACCCAAGCCCGTTGGTTTTGTGGCAATCGCACTTTCAGCGTTCATCAGCACCTCGCGATTGTGCCAACGACTGCTCCTACCCCTCACGCTCTCACACTCTCTCCCACAAACACACTCACACACTCTCTCTGCTTCTCCTTCGACAAAGGCGACAAGGAACGCATAAGAAGAAAGCAGAAAGAACCCTCAGGAGCACGACCACCTGCCACGCACAGCAGGCGAGGCGGACACCCTCCGTCGACACCATGTCCGAGCAGACGCGTTCTGCTGGCTCGGCTGCTGCCTGCAAGGAGGAGACAACCCCTTCTTCCTTGACACAACAGGACACCCAATCGAACGACAACAAAGGCAACAACAAAGGTAACGGCAACAACACAGGTAACGGCAACGACAGCAGCAACAACAACGGCAACAACAGCAGTCGCAACAGCAGTCGCAGCAACGGCAGTGATGCTACCCCTGCAGCCAACCCCAACACAACACAGCCGCCATCAACACCGACACAAACAGTCATGCCCGCTCAATCCACGCCTCAATCACAACAGCAACCGCAACTGCACCAACAGCAACCCCCCATGTCATTGTCACCCCAGCAACAAATGATGATGAACTACATGACGTGGATGAGCATGCTTCAAGCACAAGCACCAAGCTCGCCGACTCAGGCCAACAACACCACGAACGCCAGCAATGCGATGGTGAGTGTTCCCGTGGAGTGGAGTGAATGCGCGTCATGTTGTTGTTGTTGTTGTTGTTGTTGTAGTTGTAGTTGTAGTTGTTGTCGTTGTAGTAGTAGTAGTTGTTGTTGTAGTAGTAGTAGTAGTAGTAGTAGTAGTAGTAGTAGTAGTAGTAGTAGTAGTAGTAGTTGTTGTTGTTGTCTCAGTTGTTGTTGTTGTCTCAGTTGTTGTTGTTGTTGTTGTTGTTGTTGTTGTTGTTTGTTGTTGTTGTTGTGCCACTGTTCTTCCTCTTCCCCTTTTTCTCTTTTCTCTTCTCCTTGTTCACTGATGCACTGTTTGTCGATGTGACCTCGAACGTAGCAGTTGGGTTGGAACCCAGCCATGTTCAATTCCGTCGTGGCAGCGAGTAAGTGTGAAAGGCAAGCGGCCTGTTTGGCCACACATGCGTCTGTGTGAATGATGTCATGGTGCTGTCGTCTGTCTATCTCTATCTCTGTCTGTCTCTGTCTCTGTCTCTGTCTCTGTCTCTCTGTGTGTCTGACTCTCTTCATCCACGTACGCACACGCGCGCGCACACACACACACACAATGCACACGCTCTCATACGATGCTGGTTCTTCTGCGTGTGCTTCTCTGTGCGTGTAATGCACCACCAGACCAAGCACCCCTTTCACCCAACAGCGCGGCTCAACAAAGACCGGTGCGGTGTGTGTGTGTGTGTGTGTGTGTGTGTGTGTGTGTGTGTGTGTGTGTGTGTGTGTGTGTGTGTGTGTGTGTGTGTGTGTGTGTGTGTGTGTGTGTGTGTGTGTGTGTGTGTGTGTGTGTGTGTGTGTGGGTGTGTGGGTGTGGGTGTGGGCTTGGGTGTGGGTGTGGGCTTGGGTGTGGGTGGAACCCTGCTTGCGCCCTGTGTCACTGCCTTGTGTCTGGTTGCGCTCTGCCGCCTCTGAACACAGTCTCAACCTCTGTCTTGTGCGTGTGTTGGTATGCAGCCCATGTTTGCCATGCCTACCCCGTACATGGCGTTCCATCCGGCGTTCAGCGCCATGCTAGCCCACGTCAGCCGCAGCCCTTCAGACAGATACACCTGTGACATGTGCGGCACCCCCTTTACCAGCAGCAGCACCTCACTCGACACC